TTTGGTAACAGAGCTACCGATGTCCCTCTTAACATAATGATAAACGGATCACCCATCACAAAACTCACAGAGGGAAAATTCTTAGGAATCCACCTTGATAATAGACTCAAATTTCAAACACATATACAGAAAAATTTCCAAGAAAATTTCCAAGACTGTAGGCATACTATCGAAGATATGGTACTGTGTTCCACAGTCAGCCCTCCTGGCCCTATATCACTCACTTATGTACCCCTATCTCACCTATGGAATTTGTGCATGGGGCTCAACAACAATAAACCATCTCAGACCACTAATTTCCCCAAAAAAGGCTGCAGTCAGAATGATAACAAATTCCCACTACAGGCGCACACTCCACCAATATTCAAAGCCCTAAACCTACTCACCATACAAAACATCCATACTTATTACTGCACCTATTACATACATAGAACACTTAACTCGGATTATAAACCCTCTCCTCAAACGTCTCCTTACCAACCGAACAGAACACACGACCATAACACAAGGAACAGATCACTCTTTGATGTCCTCGTGTCCATCTCACACTATGCAAAAAACTCAATGCACAAAAAGGCCCTAAAATCTGGGAAATTCATTGCCTGTAAATTAAAAAGAAACACTGTTTATAAATTCAAGTCTCTTCTCGAAATCACTTACTCACCCACAACCAATAAATACTGAATAATTGTATCTTAAAAATTGTATTTCTTTAAATGTTTCTCATAATTGTATCTCATAAATGTTTAACCTGATACCCAATCAAACTTTGTTATTTTTTAATTTACACTACCTAACAGAATACTCCATTCTACTGAATGCACAGCAATACAGTAAATGACCATTTATTTATTTATTTATTTATTTAGTAATTTTAGCATACATACAGAGGTACAAAAAAATACAGGTAAGAGCAGCATGCCAAAGCCACTTATATGCATAGCATTACGGGCTGGTTTAAAATTAACTTAAGTTTAAACTAAGCAATGATGAAATCAGTGATAAAAACCCTTATTGTAAACAGATAACTTAAAGCACAAATGAGTATTACAAAGACAGGTCATAGGGTTGCATGCATTGCTGTACTTCAGTCGAATAGAGTATTCTGTTAGGTAGTGTTTTTAAAAAAAATAACAAAGTTAGATTGGGTCCTAGGTTTAACATTTGTGTGATATAATTGTGAGTAACATATAGGATATAAAATTTATAGGTTCAGTTATTCAGTATTTATTTGGTTTTGAGTGAGTGATCTTGAGAAGAGACTTGAATTTATAAACAGGTAGTTTTTCTTTTATATTTACGGGTAATAAATTCCAGATTTTAGGGCCTTTATGGCATTGAGTTTTTGCATAGCGTGAGATGGACATGAGGAACATCAAGAGTGATCTGTGCCTTGTGTTATGGTCCTGTGTTCTGTTGAGGTTGGCAAGGAGATGTTTTGAGGGGAGGGTTAATATCAGAGTTAAGTGTTCTATGTATGTAATAGGTGCAGTAATAAGTATGGATGTTTTGTATGGTGAGTAGGTTGAGTGTTTTGAATATTGGTGGAGTGTGCTGCCTGTAGTGAGAATTTGTTATCATTCTAACTGCAGCCTTTTGTTGGGTAATTAGTGATCTGAGATGAGCCCCATGCACAAATTCCATAGGTGAGATAGGGGTAAATAAGAGAGTGATAAAGGGCCAGGAGGGCTGACTGTGGAACATAGTACCGTATCTTCGATAGTATGCCTACAGTCTTGGAAATTTTCTTAGAAATTTGTTGTATATGTGTATGAAATTTGAGTCTATTATCAAGGTGGATTCCTAAGAATTTTCCCTCTGTTAGCTTTGTGATAGGTGATCTGTTTATCGTTATGTTAAGAGGTACATCTGTAGCTCTGTTACCAAACTGAATGAAGTAGGTTTTGTCAATGTTTAGTGTAAGTTGTTAGTCCCATTTCCGGTAGATATTTTCTGTAATTCGGTGTTTACAGTATTGGCTAGCGTGACTGGGCTCGGGTGAGAGAAGACGTATGTAGTGTCATCTGCAAAAAGTGTGGGTTTGAGTAATTGCGAAGCATTTGGTAGGTCATTTATGTATAGGAGAAAGAGAAAAGGGCAAGGACCTTCCCTGTGGGACACCAACTGTAATTGGTTGAGGGGGAAGAGCTTGCCCCCTTTACCTGGAGTTTACCTGGAGAGAGTTCCGGGGGTCAACGCACCCGCGGCCCAGTCTGTGACCAGGCCACATATTGGCTTCTGTTGCTGAGGTATGACTTGAGGTAGTTGAGGGAGTGCCCTCTAATACCATAGTGTGACAATTTTAGTGGAGCAAGTCATGGTCAACTGTATCAAAAGCTTTATGTAAGTCAATGAAGATCCCCAGTGGGACTTCTTTTTTCTCTATTGCAGTGTATATATGTTCTAGCATGTGTATAATAGCATCATTAGTATTTTTATTAGGCCTGAATCCAAATTGGCAGGGTTGAGAATGTTTTGGGAGATGAGGTAGGAGTAGATTGTTTATGAATTAATTTTTCGAAGATTTTTGAGAGAGGGTGTAAATTGAATATTGGCCCTATAGTTATTCAACTCTGTTTGGTCTCCTCCTTTATGGATCGGGGTGACCCTTGCTATTTTGAGAGCTGTAATACTCATTTGTGCTTAAGTTATCTGATTACAATAATGTTTTACCACTGAATATATCACTGCTTAGTTAATCTTAAGTTAATTTTAATCTTGCCCATAATGCTCTGCATACAAGGGGCTTTGGCATGTTGCAATTAACTGTATTCATTTGTACTACTCTGTATCATGTTCAAATAAATAAATAAATAAATAGTATATTGATATCAAGATCACATTAAGATTGGCAAGTTTACCTATACCTGCTGGCACTGATCACCTAACAGTAAGTATGTACCTGGAATTTAGGTGGTCGTTGAGAGTTGCATCCTGGGGGACAAGACTGAAATGCTCTGCATAACCAAGGGCTATATATGTAGTAGTATGAAATGATATCACCTATGTCTGTATAGGTTGCCTCATTTACTTGTAGAAATAAACAATTATTATAATTTATTATTAATATATTTTATTATTATTAATTATTACCATCACCATTTAAGTGACCTTGGCAACAATCTAAGCCTTAGGCCTTTGTAGTTTAATTATTGTAATTTTTAAACACTCATAACTCACACATGCTAGAACATATATACACTGCAATAGAGAAAAAAGAAGTCCCACTGGGGATCTTCATTGACTTACGTAAAGCTTTTGATACAGTTAACCATGACTTGCTCCACGTAAAATTGTCACACTATGGTATAAGAGGGCACTCCCTCAACTACCTCAAGTCATACCTCAGCAACAGAAGCCAATATGTGTATGCAAATGGGGCAAACTCTTCTGCACAACCAATTACAGTTGGTGTCCCACAGGGAAGTGTCCTTGGCCCTCTTCTCTTTCTCCTATACATAAATGACCTACCAAATGCTTCGCAATTACTCAAACCCACACTATTGCAGATGACACTACATACGTCTTCTCCCACCCGAGCCCAGTCACGCTAGCCAATACTGTAAATACAGAATTACAGAAAATATCTACCTGGATGAGGACTAACAAACTTACACTAAACATTGACAAAACCTACTTCATTCAGTTTGGTAACAGAGCTACATATGTCCCTCTTAACATAATGATAAACGGATCACCTATCACAAAGCTAGCAGAGGGAAAATTCTTAGGAATCCACCTTGATAATAGACTCAAATTTCATACAATATACAACAAATTTCTAAGAAAATTTCCAAGACTGTAGGCATACTATCGAAGATACGGTACTATGCTCCACAGTCAGCCCTCCTGGCCCTATATCACTCTCTTATTTACCCCTATCTCACCTATGGAATTTGTGCATGGGGCTCAACAACAAGTAACCATCTCAGACCACTAATTACCCAACAAAAGGCTGCAGTTAGAATGATAACAAATTCTCACTATAGGCAGCACACTCCACCAATATTCAATACACTAAACCTATTCACCATACAAAACATTCATACTTATTACTGCACTATTACATACATAGAACACTTAACTCTGATATTAACCCTCCCCTCAAACATCTCCTTGCCAACCTCAACAGAACACATGACCATAACACAAGGCACAGATCACTCTTTGATGTTCCTCGTGTCCATCTCACACTTTGCAAAAACTCAATGCACATAAAAGGCCCTAAAATCTGGAACTCATTACCTGTAAATATAAAAGAAACACTACCTGTTTATAAATTCAAGTCTCTTCTCAAAGATCACTTACTCACCCAAAACCAAATAAATACTGAATAACTGAACCTTATAAATTGTATATCTTAAATGTTTCTCACAATTATATCACATAAATGTTAAACCTAAAACCCAATCTAACTTTACTATTTTTTAAATACACTACCTAACAGAATACTCCATTCTACTGAATGTACAACAATGCATACAGCCATATGACCTGTCTTTGTAATACTCACTTGTGCTTTATAGTAATCTGTTTACATTAAAGTTTTATCACCGATGTCATCATTGCTTAGTTCATCTTAAGTTAATTTTAAGCCAGCCCGTAATGCTATGCATAGTATAAGTGGCTTTGGCATACTGCTCTTTTTCTGTATTTTTTGTACCTCTGTATGTGTGCACAAATTTTTAAATAAATAAATAAATAAATAAATAAATAACTTTAGTTAGATAAAAGTAGTTGGATAAGGTGCATGATATTAAGGATATCTGATAGAGAATAAGTAATAATGAGATTGTATGAGAGAATTATTATTATTATAATCATGGGGAGCGCTAAACCCGTAAGATTATACAGCGCATGTAGGAGGGGGATGGAAGGTATTCAGGCTCAATTCAGGGAACTGGAGCACAGATCCAATTCCCTAGATCAAGAGCCCCTCGCCAGCGTCAAGGAACCTCCCTTGAGGGGTGTAAGAGAGAAGAGAACCTGATTACCTTACAGAGATGATATAAGAATAATAACTGTTCTTGTCTACCACTCAGCTGATAAAGCTTTTCACAAGTCTTTATTATTTATATTTTAGTTCTATATTATGGCGCACGCTAAACAAAAAAAAATATATACACTATATCTGCATATATATATTTGTAAATAACCCGCTGAGGCTAACATAATCACTAACATTTCACCTTGACAACATCTATTTATATATAAAACAGGTAAAATTAGCAATTCCAATAATGTGTCAAACAGCTGTTTCTTGTAAACAAGTTTAAATTTAATGGCTGATTGTGTCAGTACCACCACTGCCACCACTATCACCATTACCACCACTGCCACCACTACCACTTACTTAAGCTGACCGTCAGTTAATATGATGGAGAGTGTGTGTTGTGGTAGTAACTGAGGGAAGAGCACAGTTATTAGAAGTTGACAGCAACACTCAGGCTTCTCGCTGCTCCAAGAAACTCCTCTTGCTACATAGGAAATTTAAAATGGAAAACAAGAACAGAGTTATTGATATCCTGCTGCATGAATATATTAGAAAAATAGATATAAAGTAAGTGCTGGATGAATATATTAGTAAGATTTATATAAGGTAAATTAGTACATAACGGGACTAAGTGAAATGCCCCTATTATACATAATATTCATGGGGAAGCACTAAACCCATACGGGTTATGTAGTGCCCAGAAGACATTGAAGTTCGACCCGAGGAAGGGGAGGGCAAGTCCAATTCCTTGGATTAAGATCCCCTCATTGGCATCAAAGAAGCTCCTTTTAAGGGAAATACCCCTATTGTACAGTGTATTTGGGAGGATTTACGTGCCATCTTTTGTGGCTTCACACATTGTGCTCTTCCCCCCCCCCTCAAGGGAGTTTCCTTGACGCTGGTGAGGGGCTCTTGATCAAGGGAACTGAATCTGTGTTCCAGTTCAATGAATTGAATCTGAATGCCTTCCATCTCACCCCCACAGGTGCTGTATAATCCTACGGGTTTAGCGCTCCCACATGATTATAATAATGTGCTCTTCTCCAACCTTGACTGTTAGTGTTGAATTTCCTGCTCTTTTCCTGAGACGCTTGTCCTCAATATTGACTTAGTATATTGATGTCAAGATCAAATTAAGATAGGCAAGTTTACCTATACCTGCTGGCACTGATCACCTAACAATAAGTAGGTACCTGGAATTTAGGTGACCGTTGAGTCGCATCCTGGGGGACAAGACTGAAATACTCTGCATAACCAAGGGCTATCTATATATGTAGTAGTATGAAATGATATCACCTACGTTTGTATAGGTTGGCTCATTTACTTGTAGAAATAAACAATTATTATATTATATTTTATTATTATTAATTATTACCATCACTCTGACATTAACTCTTACAGGCTTGTAGAAAGCCTGTTACTGTTGACTAGGGTAGTGGGAAGATGTGGGCATCTGGTTCTGCTAGGGTTTAGGCAAGGAGGTCCATTTAATCTAATCGAGAACATAGTTCCATTTTTGTTTTGGAGGAAGTTTTATTTTTTCCTTCATTACCCACCCACATTGGGCATATATATTCACCAGACTTCTGAAAACAGGGCTCATACTGTGTGATCCATTATAAATAATAAAAATGGTATTTGGAGATACCTAGTACTCGTCCCTCCCTTGTTAGCAGTCTCATTGGAGTACCATATCCCAGTTACCTTCTCCGTTTTCAGCTACTTCATTGCCTATCCTTTCAATGGATTTAGGTGCTTTGATACCAGTGAATTGCTTTTGTTATATAGAATTTGAGTTAATCTCTTTGATCAAACCTGATTACATTCTATTTATAGTTTACTGACTGGAGAATGGGTATGGTGATACCAACTGTATTTTCAAAAACAATTAGGGTCTTGATCTGTGGTTCATACTTCAGCTTGCGTGTGGCCAGCAGTAACAGCCTGGTCTCAGACTGGGTCGCGGGGACTTGACCCTTAAAACCCTCTCCAGGTAAACTCCAGGTGCGTGTCTTAACAAAAAGTTAATGACCCTATATAACTTTTATGGGATTAGCATTTTCTCATGGTCACTTTTATATATTTTTTGGAGGATAATCAGGTTTGATCTAAGGAAGGGGATGGTAGCTCCAGTTCCTTTATGGATAGACACTTGTGTACAGTTAAGGACATTATTAAAGGAAATGTTTCACCACGAGTGGCTTAGTCGGTCCTAATGAAGAAGCCACTAGTGGCAAAATTTTCTTTAATATGGTAAATGCCCTGTACTGTACATGCATGTCTTCATCCACAGCTATCACCATCCCGCTTAACTTAAAGTCCTTTGATCAAGAACCCTTCACCAGAATCAAATCACCTCCCTTGAAGGGAGATACTGTACTGTATTAAAGATAGTGAAAATAATACAGTATGTATTTTATATTATAAATTATACCTAGAATTATGTGTTGTATATAGTATATAAAATAAAATTACACCTAACTGAATTGTATGTACAGGCACAATATCCATGAGTCAGCAATTATTGCATCATCACCCATATTCAGCATATCTAAAAGTCAGTCAAATGTAATGCTATCACTATTCTTCCCTCAAAGCTTACAGGTAGGTTGTGTGATCAGCCTTCATTTATAGTAATTACTGTACCTATTTGTAATTAGTATCTTAGTGTTATGTAGGCTAGGTGGTTTTTCAATAAGCGAGGGATGAAAGCTGAAAGAAATTATTCAAAACACTAGCAGCTGTAATAACTGAATGAAACCACACTAGTGATATTTACAGCATCAATTATAGCACTTAAAAATCTTTATTTTAAACATCATTTATTCATCACTCAACAGATAAGGTCACTAATTGTATACAAAAATTTAATTCACAATGTACTGCACTAAATGTCCTTTGTGCATATCATAAACCAAATTTTGTAACAGTTGCATACATTTTGAAAAATTCTTGGCTATATTAATTAATTTTGCCTTTGGCAGTTCTGTCAGTGTTACCTCGATATTTGAGCTTAATCCGTTCCAGGAAGCCGTTCAAATAGTGAGTTCTATGAATATTGAATTTTGAATCAATTTTTCCCGTAAGAAATAATGTAAATTGGATTAATCTATTTTTCATTAATCCATACTAACAAAAGTTTATCATTTCTTCAATTATCTGTGGCCTTTTCACAGCAAGAATTTTCACTCCTTTCACCACACCATCCCCTTTTATTGCCTCTTAATTTTTTAATATGGATGATATGGTGGATTTTGCCATACCATATTGAGTGGCCAGGTCCGACACACATGTTCCACTTTCCCACTTCACAATGAGTTCTTTTTTCACTTTAATTGTTGTTCTCACTGCTTTCCGTTTAGGCTTATTTGGATCACTATTTTGGGGGGAGGAGGGGAGGTCCATGCTTACTTAATTTCAATGAAAATACTTATAAAACATCGCAGAATAACAATGAAATACCAAAAAGTTTCATGAAACTTGTGCGAACAGTGCTGGACGAACGAAAGCTGATGAGACCGAGCGCGTGATCCTTTATTTTTGTCGGACTTTGTCCAGATGAACCGTTTTGTTTAGGTTGAATGTCAGTGCAATGTCCAAATACCAATTCAGATTTTTCTCAAAAAAAGTATAGAGTTGTACGAATATAGGGACGTATGAGTATTGAGGTTCTACTGAACTGTAGTATTTTAAATATTGAATTTTATTGTGTTTTAAATATATTGTATTTTATTTTTCATTTTTCTTTACAGAAATCTACGTAAAACCTTAGAGGGCAAGTCGTGTGTGGATTCATTCATCACAAAGGACTGTTCAACAGCAATGCATTTAGCATCTTCATTATCTGATGAAGCTGATTGCTTAACTGTTGCAGAATTTTTTCTTGCACTTGGAGCTAACCCTAATGTTCCGTAAGTAGCAGCCCAAATATACCGTATTTCACAGCTCATTAGACACATTTTTGTTCCATAAAATGTCTCCAAAAACCACCCTGTGTCCTATAAACTGAAGGTCAATGATGGGAGCTATAAGTTTGGGGTGTGGGGTGGGCTTTAGCTCTCTGTTATGTCTGATGCCGAGCCAATGAAACTAAAAGAAGACTTATAGGTTGCGACATACGGTAATCTAACAGAACACTGCATAAACATTATATTGAATATGTTGCTTGCTTCTTTCTTTCTTTCAACACACCGGCCGTATCCCACCAAGGCGGGGTGGCCCAAAAGGAAAAACGAAAGTTTCTCCTTTTACATTTAGTAATAAATACAGGAGAAGGGGTTACTAGCCCCTTGCTCCCAACATTTTAGTCGCCTCACAACACACATGGCTTACGGAGGAAGAATTCTGTTCCACTTCCCCATGGAGGTAAGAGGAAATAAACAAGAACAAGAACTAGAAAGAAAATAGAAGAAAACCCTGAGGGGTGTGTATATATATGCTTGTACATGTATGTGTAGTGTGACCTAAGTATAAGTAGAAGTAGCAAGATGTACCTGAAATCTTGCACGTGTATGAGACAGAAAAAAAGACACCAGCAATCCTACCATCGTGTAAAACAATTACAGGCTTCCATTTTACTCACTTGGCAGGACGGTAGTACCTCCTTGGGCAGTTGCTGTCTACCAACCTGCTACCTAGAATGTTGCTTACTGTCTTTTTTAATTTAGGTACAGTACATTATTATATTTCTGGCATAATACTACACAGTACTGTAAAGAACCATGTTTATAAGAGGTTCAGAGGAATGTGGATTTACTATACATAGTTTGGTACAGTGGTACCTCGAGTTTCGTACTTAATCCGTTTCAGGAGCTAGTACTAAAGTCGAAACGTACTAAAATCGAAGCAATATTTCCCATAAGAAATAATGTAAATCCAATTAATCCGTTCCAGACACCCAAAAATATTAACAAAAAATACATTTTATAGATTAATTATTGTTTTGCAAACACACAGCAAACATAAATAGTATACTTAAATTAGTAATAAGAAAATAAACATTTAAATGAACATTTAAAATAACATTTTTACTTACCTTTATTGAATCTGTTGATGGCATCTGGAAGATAGGAAGGAGGAGTGAGTGAGGGCTTAGTGTTTGGAAGGGGAATCCCCCTCCATAAGGACTTAAGGTATCAAAGGCCACTCTGAGGTTACTTCCCTTGTTTGTCTTTTCATTCCACTAGGACCAGCTTGAGTCACTGGACCCCTGTCTCTCAAAATAACTGTCCACAATCCTCTGTCTCTGGCACCTCTTTAAGATTTCCCTAAAATGGGACATGGGTCTGTAACTGAACTTGTTGCAGAGATGGTTTGTTTCAGCTTGGTCAGGGTGATATTTTTCAGCAAATGCCTGCACTCTATTCGACATTGCACAAATCTTAATCTCTAAAGAAGGCACCTCATCCACTCCCTCTTCCTCCTCCTCTGAAGCAAGTTCCTTAGCTGTGGTCTGATGCTGTTCCAGAGGAAGCTCTTGCAGCTCTTCAGTGGTTAGCTCTTCCCTGTGGTCGTCCACCAACTCTTCCACATCCTCGCCACTCGCCTCCAACCCCATGGACTTCCCCAGTGCCACAGTACCTTCCACAACAGGCATAGGGTTGGCAGAGTCAGGGCCCATGGTAGCTATTTCACAGTCGCAATTAATAAACAAGCACCAAACGCAATGAATTAATTGTGAAATGTTTGGATGAGCATGCAGGTTAGTGTTCACTCAAGCATTAATAAAGCCAAATTGGCTCATGACGCCTGCTCGGGGGATGTGGTCAGGAATGAGCAGGCGGACAGGTCTGGTACGTGGTACCAAACATGGGGCACAGTACGAAACTTGGTATAAAATTGAGCTGAAAAATGCAGTCTATACTCAAAGCATACAATATGTCAAGGCATTCGAAACTCTGGGTTCCACTGTATTGTTTTGTATTGTATCCATTTTTCTCAGTATTTAATCCTGTGTCGGGCCCACCAGCAAAGACTTAAAATCAGGTCAGTGTTAACTCAGTGATACAATACTTTGGACCCTCGGTTTTTGTTTTTAATTCGTTCCAGAGAGTCTGATGAAAACCAAATTCGACGAAAAAGCAATATTTCCTGTAAGAAATAGTGTAAATGTAATTAATCTGTTCCAGACACCCAAAAATATTAACAAACAGTACATTTTAGACAACTATAGTTTTACATACAGAAAATGATGAGAAATAAATATAAAGCATTAATTTTAATGGATAAATGAACATTTAAATCAGTTGTAACTTTATTGAAGACTCTTGTTGACGTATGGAAGATGGCAATGAGGGGAGAGGAAGGAGAGGTTATTGTTTGGAAGGGGAATCCCCTTCCATAAGGAGTTCAGGTTTCAGGTCCCTACCCGAGGTAACTTCCCTTCTTTGTCTTTTACTGGCACTAGGATCAGCTTGAGTCACTGTACCCCTATCGCGCAAAAAATCCGTCCAGAGGTGTCTGTTTCTGGCGTCTCTTTAAGATTTGCCTATAATGGGACACAGCATTGTCGTTGAACATGTTGCAGACAGCTTTGTTAGGGTGATATTTCTCCACAAAACTTTACATCTCACTCCACTTTGCACAAATGTCCTTTATTGCTGAAGAAGGCACATTCTTCCCTCTCTCTTCCTCCTCTGAAGCAATTTCCTCAGCTGCCATCTGTCGCTATTCCAGTTGAAGGGGTTGCAACTCTTCAGTGGTTAGCTCTTCCCTGTGGTCATCCACCAACTCTTCCACATCCTGGCCACTCACATCCAACACCATGGACTTCCTGAAAGCCACAATACCTTCCACAACAGGCATAGGGTTATCAGGGTCAGCTTCAAACCCTTCAAAATCCTTCTCTTGGACACATTATGGCCACAGTTTCCTCCAAGCAGAGTTCATCGTCCTGGAAGTCGATTCCTGCCAAGCCTTATCTATAAGGCTTATGTAATTGAGGATATTAAAGTGATGCCTCCAGAACTCTTAGGGTCAATTCAGTGTCCGAGGTCACTTCAAAGCACCTTTGAAACATTACTTTGGTGTACAGCTATTTGAAGTTTGAAATGACCTGCTGGTCCATGGGCTGGATGAGAGGAATGGTATTAGGGGGCAAGAACTTCACTGTGATGAAACTAAACTCCTCCAGCAACTGGTCTTCCAAGTCTGGAGGATGAGCAGGAGCATTGTCCATTACCAGGAGGCACTTGAGTGACAATTTATTTTTCAGGAGGTATTTCTTCACACTTGGGCCAAACACTTCATTGATCCACTCTTTGAAAATTTGCTTTGTGACCCATGCCTTATGTTAGCCTTCCACATCACACATAATTTACTCGTGATGACATGGTTTTTCTTGAACACTGGGATTTTCAGTGATACACCAGCAAAGGCTTCACTTTGAAACCCCACTAGCAATAACCATAGAACAAAAAGAGTTAGCCTATCCTTCATAGGCTTGTGTCCTGGCAGTACCTTTTCCTCCTTCATGATGTAGGTCCTCTGTGGCATTTTCTTCCAAAACAGGCCTGTTTCGTCACAGTTGAGGACTTGTTGGGGGAGGAATCCTTCAGCCTCTACGTACTCCTTGAATTCATCAACGAATTCTTTGGCCGCACATTTGTCAGAACTTGCAGCCTCGTCATACCTGAACACACTGTGTATGCCAGATCGCTTCTTGTAGTTGTTAAACCAGCCTCTGCTGGCCTTCAATTCACTTACAGCAGCCCTCGTTACAGACGTATTCTTTATGAGATCCACATGCAACTGCTTTGCCTTTTTGCAAATTATCGCCTCCACAATACTGTTTCGGGCTAACTGTATTTTGTTGATCCACACCAACAACAACTTCTCAATATCTTCAATTTTTGCAATCTCTGTTTCATTAGCACATTTACCCTTTTCACAACATCAGATTCCTTGATTTCTTTTTTCTTTGCCAGGATGGAACTAATTGTTGATGAGGACTTCCCGTACATCCTGGCGAGATCAACCACACGTACGCCACTTTTGTACTTTTCTAAAAGTTCTTTCTTGAATTCTATCGTGTTTCTCACCTTCTTTATCACAAGGCTGGCACTCGGAACTTTCTTAGGCCCCCATGATGGCTTATTTAGCAGTAGCACTCGATAAACAATTACTAAAAAACAATCGATTATTACGAAATGTTTCATGTGAATGTGCAGGGTAATGTTCACTCGACAAGAAACAAAGCCAGACTGACTCAGAATGCGTGTGTGGGATGCTTTGTGCGGGCACGGGCATGTGGATACGTTTGGAATAGCGGACAAAAGCCAAGCTGATGAACGAAAAGTGGGACAATACAAGTAATTGAAAACCAAATTTGACGAAAACCAGGGCAAACAAAAACCAAGATTCCACTGTATTTCCTTGTTGTTCTTCTTGTGCATGTCATTGTAAGAGGTTTTTTACTCCTTTAATTTATGTAGGTTGATGCTGTTTTAAATGTTCAGTTTCCATATATGGTAATTTTTGCAGGTTCTCTTTCAGAAAGTACATCTTTCTCATCCTTCACTTCTTCACAGCTTCCATAACTGATACACATGTACTTGCATACAAAATTTTTGAACCTTTTAAATAAGAAGTTATTGCTATTTCGTACAATAGGTGTTCATCTTCATGCTGCATGTACTGCATAAATGTTGAGCACAGTCAGTGTTATCTTAAGAAAATTAACCATCTGTGGCAAAAATTACCATCAGAAGAACTTGCATTATAAGTATTACATTGGTTTGTATATTTATATATTTGTATATTTTACACTTCTTACATGAATCTGGAATTTGCTGGCTAAGTACAGTACATATGTAATGACACTTTTCATTGAAGTACATTTTTCATATAAGTACATTTTCATGATAATCAGAATTATAAATGGAGTTTTGGTCCATAATGAATTACTGTTGCAGAGACAAAGAAGGCAAGACCAGTTTACACATTGCTGCATCAATGGGTTACAGTCGTCTGCTGGATCTCCTCCTTGTTAATGGTGGCGATCCTTTGCTAGGTGATATGAAGGGACAGTTACCTGTGGACTGTGCTTACCACCAACATCACTTGGAAATCGTTAAGCAACTCACTAAACTTCTGGACACAGAGAATTATGCTGGTGCACAAGAGAATTCCCATAAGTATAGCCTTTCTTTCTGTAAGTGCAACATGTATAATAGTGCTGACTCAAAACATCAAACTGTCCAAACGTAGATCTACGTTTGGACAGTTTAAGGGTTAACAAGTAGGCCATCTCCCACCAAGGCAGGGTGACCCAAAAGAAAGAAAAAAAAATACTTTCATCATCATCCAAAACTTTAGCCTCACCTCAACATAATCACTGTGTTTGCTGAGGTTACTCAGAAATCAATACAAGGTTAGAAGCATTATACGTAATAAAGATACACAACATTTCCTCCGAACTGCCAATATCCAAAACCTCTCCTTTAAAGTGCAGACATTGTACTTCCCATTTCAGGGGCTGAGTCCAGCTATATAAATAATCACAGTGGAACCCCACATAAACGATATTATTTCAATCCTAGAAGTCTGTTTGGGTGCGTTTATAGACCAGAAATTTGTTCCATATGAAATATTGTGAATTAGAATTAAGTCCGTTTCAGTACCCCCAAAAATAGACTCTACAAAAGACTTACAAAAATACACTTACATAATTGGTCGTGTTGGGAGGTGATGATCGTTATGCGGGGGTCCACTGTAATTGGTTTCCCTGAATCCCTTCACTAAATATTACCCTGCTCACACTCCAGCAGCTCGTCAGGTCCCAAATACCATCATTTCCTTTCACTCCTATCTAAACACGCTCATGCATGGCTTGCTGGAAGTCCAGCCCCCTCGCCCACACCAAACCCTCCTTTATCCCTCCCTACACCTTGTCAAGGCACGACCCCTACCTCCCTTCCTCCCTCTCACAGAGTTATATGCTCTCCATGTCATTCTACTTTGATCTATTCTCTCTAAATGACCAACCCACCTCAACAACCGCTCTTTAGCCCATCTGACTAATACTTTCATTAAATCCAACCTCCTAATTTCCACACTTGGAATTTTCTGCATAATATTTAACCACACATTGCCCTTAGACAGGCATCTCACTGCCTCCATCCATCTCCTCACTGGCAAGCATTTACACCAAGCTTCACCCCATATAAGAGTGTTGATACCACTTTACTTACATTCCTTTCCTTTGCTCCATAGATAACGTTTTTTTTGTTCTCCACTTATACCTCACGCACCACTTGCTTTTTTCCTCATCAATTCTATGTTTAACCTCATCCTTCATAAGTCCATCTGCTGACAAGTCAACTCCCAAATATATGAAAACATTCACTCGCTTCCATACTCTCCTCTCAATTGATATCCAATTTTTCTTTAAATCTAAATCATTTGATACCTTCATCACCTTATACTTTCTATGCTTCACTTTCAACTTTCTAGCTTACACACTCCCAAACTCGTCACATAACATTTGCAATTTTTCTTTAGAATCTCCCATTAAGACAGTATCATCAGCAAAAAGGAACTGTGTCATATTTCCCATTTGCTATTTGATTCTCCATAATTTATCCCACCCCTCTTCCAAAACACCTTTGCATTTACTTCTTTTACATCCCCACTATAAATTTATTAAACAACCAGGAAGTAGACTCCCTTCTTCTTCTACACACATATTTTATGAAAAGAGGATATTAATATACGAGGTATGTGTAGCACGTAATGAAAGTAGTTTGTTAGTTATGTAATTGGTGGTTAAATAAGGTTGATGGGTAGGCTCCAGGTGCATGTACATGTTTATAGAAGGCAACTGATATATGGTTCTCATTATTTAGTTGTAACTACGTAGAAGTAAACCGAGGTAGATGGGACAAAGATGAAAATGGCATACAAGTAAGAGATGAGGTGAAATGTGTATAACCTAAGGGAGGAGGAAGTTCGTGTGAGATATAAGCAGCTTTGGCAGAAAGGTGGGTAGTGCAAGTATGAGTAGTAGGGGGTTTGAACTGGGTAGGAATATTTTTTAAAATGCAGTAGTATTAGAATGTGCAAGAATGTTTTGGTTATAGGAAGGTGGGTGCTAGGAGGAGAGGAAGAGGAGTGGATATTTTGGGGGGTTGGAATGATGAAGTAAAGGGTGTGGATAAAAGAGGAAAAGGTAGCAGTCCTATGAGGCGTTTTTACAAGCAGAAGTATTATAAGAAGACAGAGTATATGGGAGAGTAAAAGAAAGGTAAGAGAGTTTGTGAGAGAGTGCAAATGGTAGAAGAGCAGATGATAGTGGCATATGAGCCACTGTCAAGGAAAATAAACCGCCCGAAAATAAGAACAATTTTGGAGTGAGTTTTAACATCACTGGTATTGTGTTATTTAAATAGTTAGTTTATAAATATTTATTTTATTCTGTATGTAGAACCTGGTTCAGCTTCTTTCACATTACAGTACCTGCATTATGTAGTTAATGTATTTAATTGATTAGTTTTTTCTGCATTGATCTTTACATATTTGAGTTGGGGTGAAATCTCAGTAGGATTTTTTCCCCAAAAAATATTTTGTTCATTCCTTAAAGTACGTCAAAGAAGTTGTGTGAATTTTGAATATATCTCAATCTGTAGATCAATAATCTGACGAGTCTTATCTTTGATTCCAACAGCATAAGGGTAGTAATTTTTAAATTTGTTATATAAAAAGGGTTTTGTTTTCTTTCATTACATTTTATATCGAATTGCTCATTTTTTTTTTTTAACTATGTCAGCTGTCTCCACCCAAGGCAGGATGACTTTGTTAACACAAATTAGAGATGGACAGGTCTTTAACCCGTAATTGGTCAAGCACGATCTATGTTCACATGAGTATGCTCCTAAGTAGATCTACGTTTTTTTTTTTTTACCATATTTTCAAATAATATAATAAAAAATAAAGTAGAATTCAAGTTTTTTTACACATTTTCTAATGTAAAAAAAAAATAAAATTTTAACTTTTTTTAATACTTTCAAATGTTTTGAAAAAACGATTTATTTTTAAGTTTGGGACCGTTTACAGGTTATCAACTGATTTTTTTTTATTTATTTATTGAGTCCCTCATGATTTTCAAGCTGTTTCAATTTCATTGATATCCATATTTAGTGACATTTTGTTAAAGTATGTGAACCCCCGACTTACGAAGGCATCGATCTAATGATAAAATCGACTTACCGAAGCATTTTGGCATTATAACTTAAAAAAAAAAACAAATTTCCCCCGGTGTACGAACTAAAACTCAACTTAATCATTCGTCCCGAACGTGTCCACGTGTCCCTCTGGCCTGAATGCACCTTAGCTGCCCTGCCTTCAGTTAGTGTGCCAATGTTTACAAGCCAGTGCGGTCGTTCCCCAGCATACATTCGGTACATTTTGTATTCCAGTGTTTTTAGTGCTTGTAACTGCTAAATAAGCCACCTTGGGCCCGAAGAAAGCTTCTAGTGCCAGGTTAGGTACATGGATAGGGCTTTCTGCTTGAAGGATAGGAGTAGGAGATAGAGGGTTTGCTTTCCTGGGGCTGGGATGGAGGATATTGTTAGCCAGCTTGTCAACATCATGAACTAAAAGGACACAAATGCAACTAATGTGACATTTATTGTGGCAACGTTTCGCTCTCCAGGAACTTTGTCAAGCTGTTACAAACAGTACATGGACACAGAGGAGTGTTAATATGACATTACATCAGTGAATCCTTGGTGTTTGCTGCACTGTTTGCTCTAGCTGGGGCTCAGTTTAACTGGCACTCCCACAAGGTACTAAGTGGTCCCAGATTTTTTTAATACTGAGCACCGAGTGTTAAGACCGATTCTGTGCTGACCAGACATCTCGGGCCAATCGTGCCAAATTTGGAGGCAGGAAAATTAAAACATATAGTATACGTTTGGGGTGCTATGCGTAAGAACATACATATACTTTTGGACCGTTTAGGGGTTAAGATCCTGCAAAAAATGCTTAGTTTTTCTTTGTGAATAAGAACATAAGAAAGGAGGAACACTGCAGCAGGCCTGTTGGCCCATACTAGGCAGGTCCTTTACAATCCATCCTACTAATTAAACATTTGCCCAACCCAATTTTCAGTTCCACCCAAGAAATAAGTTCTGATAACTATCCACTCTCATATGCAAGTCCCACTCAAATCCAACCCCTCTCACTCATGTATTTATCCAACCTAAATTTGAAACTACCCAAGGTTTTACCCTCAATAACCCAACTAGGTAGACTGTTCCACTCATCACTACCCTATTTCCAAACCAATACTTTCCTATATCCTTTCTAAATCTAATTTGAATCCATTATAGAACAAAAGTTAGAGATAAGGTAGGTCCCCTTAAAAATAACTCTGGGCATCTCGCTTACAAGGAGAATGAAATGTGCTCTCTTCTTAATAATTATTTTCTCTCGGTTTTCACTCGGGAAGACACTAACAATATCCCAGTAATTAATTTTTATAGTGGGCCTGATGATGATAAATTATGCAATATCACAGTCACTACCAAAATGGTTATCAAACAGATAGACTGGTTAAAGCAAAATAAATCCCCGGGCCCTGATTAACTTTTTTCAAGGGTTCTTAAAGAGTGTAAAATGGAATTTTGTGAACCATTGACTAATATTTTTAATATTTCTCTTCAAACAGGTGTAGTGTCTGATATGTGGCAGATGGCTAATGTAATTCCTATTTTTAAAGCAGGGGACAAGTCGTTACCATCAAATTACCGCCCAATAAGCCTAACCTCAATTATAGGCAAATTACTAGTCAGTTATAGCTGATAATATAAGAAGCCATCTCGATAAGCACAGCTTGATTAACCCTTTCAGGGTCCGTCCCGTAGATCTACGGCTTTACGTTCAGGGTCCAAACCGTAGATCTACGTCATGAGCTCAGCTCACTCTGATAAACTGTGAGTGGTAAATTTGGGCATAGATATGAGAGAATACATCTATGTGGTATGTGTGCACCACATAAAACAAATCCTGCAGCACACTGTGTATAATGAGTGAAAAAAAAACTGAGACCGTGATTTTCGATTAAAACAGCGACTTTGCAGTGTTTTTTCGTATGTTTTTTATAGTTGTATTTGTGATTTCTTGGTCTCATTTGATAGAATGGAAGACATATCACAGAAATAGATATAATTTTGATTGGTGTTAGCACTGGAAATGGCTTGAAACTGAGCTCAAAGTGGCGGAAATGTTAAATTTTTGCCGATGTTCAAGAGTAAACAAACGACCTCACACGTCTTATACACGCCAGCTGGTGGGTCTAATATACATTCACAAATGTGGTGATGATATTTATACAATTATTACAATATTGCATAACAGTAAATCTTCTATTTTTTGGTTTGAATAAAAATTCATTATGTGAATAAAAATTCAAAATGGAATTTATTTGTAAAGCCTCAAAACATAACTAATGAACAGAGGAAATGTTAGTTTAGTGCCAGGAATACCTACATTGCTTATTCTGGACCCTATTTTGAAATTGGAATATTTTGAACTTTGTGTTAAATTGGCCAAATTACCAATTTCCGGTCACTTTATTTTGTAGTTGAAATGGTTGACTTGGCGATTTCTTGTGCTCAGTCGATAGAATAGAAGTAATACTAGTGAAATAGCTAGGAATTTGGTCGACTGGAATAATGTAATTGGCCTAAAATGGGAGTCAAAGTCGGCAAAATCGCCGATTCGTAAATATCGCTGACACATCAAAATTCACGAGAGCATAATTTCGTCAATTTTCCATCAAATTTCGTACTTTTTGTTTTATTACCTTCACAAAAAGATTCTCTACCATTACATAAGAAAAAATAATAATTTTTTTTTTTTTTGAAAATTCTTGGACACTGGGGCACCACTTCAGATTTTGGCCTCGGACCCTGAAAGGGTTAATGATACTCAGCATGGATTCACGAGGGGCCGTTCCTGCCTAACTAATTTACAGTGGACCCCCGCCTTACGATGGCATCACATTACATTAAATCCGCCATACGATACATTGTAATGCAAAAATTTTGCCTCGCCTTGCGATAAAAAACTCGTCTTACGTGATTCGTCTGGGGCGCGTCCCACGTGTGGCCTCAGCACCAGTGTTTACAAGCCAGCCAGTGAGGTCGCATCCATGCATACATTCGGTACATTTCACCTTATCCCAGTGTTTTTTGTGCTTGTAACTGCAAAATAAGTTACCATGGGCCCCCAAGAAAGCTTCTAGTGCCAACCCTGTGGTAAAAAGGATGAGAATTAGTATTGAGATTAAGAAAGCTTTTGAAGGGTTTGGGGCTAACTCTTGAGAAGCCTATGCCAGTTATGGAATCCATTGTGCCTACTTCAAAGATTAAGGAAATGTGTGCAAAGTGGGTTGAAGTGCAAACCTTTATAGATGAAAATCACCCTAACACAGCTATTGCAAGCCATGCTGGTGACTATTACAATGACAATGTTGTGGCCCATTTTAGGCAAATCTTAACCCTTTGACTGTCGCAACCCCCAATCCTGAGGTGTCTCCTGGTGTCGCAAAATTTAAAAAAAAAAAATTATTTTTCTTATGAAATGATAGAGAATCTTTTCCCGATTGTAATGACACCAAAAAACCGAAATTTGATGGAAAACTGACTGAATTATGGTCTCGCAAAGTTAGCGACCTCGGCGCTGTTCACAAATTGGCGATTTCGCCCACTTTGAGCCCTATTTTCGGCTAATTCCATTGTTCCAGTCGCCCAAACTCATAGCTATTTCTTTAGAACTCCATTTTTTCTATCGATTGAGTACAAGAAACTGCCCATTTACCAATTTCAACTACTTAATAATGTGGTCAGAAATTTGCAATTTGGCCAATTTCACGAAAACTAAAAAATATGACAATTTCAAAA